TTGGCTTGGTGCGTGGAGGAGGAAACGGTCCTTACCAGGCTGACGACTCGCACCCCTGTCTGGTGCGTGTAGGAGGGACGGGCCTTACCAGGACCATGCTGACGACTTAGTGCGAGTGGCAGGAACAGTCCGGCTGGGCTCGACCGCACCGTTACTTTGTGCAGTGTGCAGACATGCCCGGGCCGTGCTTGGCGACGCGCACCGTATAACTGTGCGGTGGCCGGAACGTGCGGGCCGGCTGGCGAACGGCACGTATACTTGGTGCGAGTGGCCAGGACCAAGCCGGGTCCGGAGCTGGCTACTCGCACCGTAAGACGTGGTGTCGAGTGCAGAACAGGCCGGGCGGGCTCGCACCGCGCACCGTGACTTGGGCGAGTGGCAGGAACAGGCCGGGCCGTGCTGGGCGACGCCAGGCCGTAGACTTGGGGGGGGGTGCGAGTGGCAGGAACAGCCGGGCCGGTCTGGCGCCCGCACCGTAGACTTGGTGCGAGTGCAGACCAGCCGGGCCGGCTGCGACGCCACCGTATACTTGGTGTCGAGTGCCGAACAGGCCGGGCGGCCTGGGCGGCGCCACCTTAGCTGGTGCGTGAACTCGACAGCCGGGCTGGGCTGGCGACGCACACCGTAGCTTTGGTGTTTGAGCAGGGACCAGCCGGACGGGCTGGGACGCACACGTAGCTTGTGCGTGGAGCAGGGACAGGTCGGGTCTGGGGCGGGCGACGCACAACCGTAGGCGTTGGTTGCGTAGGAGCAGTGGACAGGCCTGAACCGGGCTGTGGAGACGGATAGAGGCCTGGAGTGAAGAGCGGCCACAACCCGTCCTGGCTGAATGCCTACCCTCACACACTCTGTGTGAGGCATCCGCACAGGACGTACAGGGCGGTGTACCCCTGGCCTGGTGGCCTTCTGGATCCGCCCCTTTTTTTCCTCCGTCAGCCCCGTCGTCCATGCCGTGTGCCCCCCCCCTAAAAATTTTCTGGGGTTGCCTCTCGACCCTCCGACGACGACCCTGATCACGCCGTTGCTCCTCTCTCCGTCGCCTCTCTACTGTCTCACTCCATGGCCGGCGATCCATCCCGGCCAGGATTTCCCCCCAAGTCCAGGACCCTTTACCGTCCAATATCTCCTCCCATGTCCAGGCTGCCTGCTCCTGGACACGCTGCTCCTCTTTCGCCAGGGCCTTTCCCGGCGCTTCCTCCCATGTCCAGCCCAAGGGCTGCCCCTGGACACGCTGCTTGGTCGTTGCATGGTGGGTTTTTCTGTCACGATCGTCATAGGGAACAGACCAAGGCGCAGCGTGATGAACAAACATACTTTAATTAGTTAAAGTTTAAACTCAATACAAAACAAGAAACGACTCGTGACGTCCACGGTATCAATGACCGAACACGGAACAAAAACCCACAAACCCAAAGGGAAAAACATACAGTTTAAATATGGCTCCCAATCAGAGACAACCAGCCAACAGCTGACACTCGTTGCCTCTGATTGGGAGTCACTCAGGCAAACATAGAATTAAACACAACAGAATTACCAACATAGAAATACACACATAGAATGAACACACCCTAGCTCAACATAATGAGTCCCAGAGCCAGGGTGTGACATACACATTTAATTATTATTGGATTTTTTGTTACATGTACAGGTATTTGTATTTCATTATTTGAAATTAAATTGAATGAATATTGGATTCAGAATTAAAACTGTATTTCAATGTATTCATAAATATTCTATACAACTATCAATTGCCTATATCAATTATCTGGCAGAAGTCAGTATTTCCTTCTCAGTCAATTATACTATTGAGAAAATCAACCCCTTTATCAAACATTGATTGGTCATTTGACTATTGGCTGGTGATGTGCTGTATTGTTTGGAGTAATCACTCAATTCATTATTCCCCATTACTAACAGAGAGACAAATCTTTACAAATCTTTACTCTACCATTGAAATCAATTAATTATGATTTGATACACATTGTTCAACTTAAAATAGGATTTATCCCTGAGTACTTGTATACAAAATCACTTACAAACTTAATTTCAAGCAAAGCAGTGTTCACTGTTTTCTATATTTTCTAGCTCCTCAACAACACTGGAACTGATCAAAGACACAGAAAGAGACAGTTTGGACTTTGATCCAGTGCATCAAAACCTAACCTTTTTTATTGGCTACAAAAAGCAAAACATTAAGCAATACAATAATTTAATATACAGTATGGAATTTTAAGGTTACTTGCGTAACCCCGGTTCTCTGATATTATGAGTGAGATATCTCACAGTAGGGATTCACAAAATCTCTTGAAGCTCGAAGAACCAATCACACACGCCTGTCGGAGATCGACAGGTTGAGTGGTGAATGAGGTGAGCCCCTCCCTTCATACTAAAGAGCCACTCGCCCGCCTTCTGGTCATTCTCAAGCATGTCAAACTTCATCACATTCTTGCGAGTAGGGGAATGTGGTGAGATAGCTCACTCATAATATCAGAGAACCAGGGTTACCCAAGGCACCTTAAATTCTCTTTCAATTATTCGTTTTAATTTCTCACAATGGGATATGGCCAACTCCTGTCTCTCACATGCTCTCCGAAGCCAGGTAGTCTCAATGTATTAACACTCAGAGGCCCCGACACTGAGAACAGTATGCGCCAAAGAATGCACAGTAACGTCTAGTAGGTAGAACCTCATAAACGTATGAGGGGATGCCCAACAAGCCGCAATGCAAATCTCCTTCAAGGAGATGCCCTTAAGCAGCGCCCAATAAGTAGCCATACCTCTGGTGGAGTGAGCCCTCAGGCCTTCTGGAGGCTATAGCCCCTTGCTATTATAGGCCAATATAATAGGTTTGACAATCCAATGTGATAACCGTTGATGAGAGAGCAGCGTCCCCTTGCAGGGAGGTGCCCAGGACACAAAGAGTTGGTTGCTCTTGCACAAAGCTCTCGTTCTATCCAAGTACTGTATATGCCCAATGTTCGTACTGGACACAAACGGTGGAGCCACACTTCTTCTGTAGAACGGAAAGGTGGTGCGTGGAATGATCTCCGCTATCCAGAGTTTGCCTGGCCATCGGGGGGATACCAAGGTGAGGGATGAGCCGCCTTCTTCACTGGCTAGAGTGGGGAGTATGAGGATGAGGGGAACAAAAGCATAAAGCAACACCCTCGGTCAACACCCTCAGCCAGCTTGTACACCCTAGGGGTGAGTCTCGTACTTGCGCGAAGAAAAGCGGCCAGTGCACGCTTTCGTGTGATGCAAAGAGATCTATGGATGCTTGACCGCATCGCTCCCAGATCTGTTTCACCACTTGGAGATGGAGTATCTGGAAAATAATTCCACTCCTACGTTCAGTACACCCTGGAAATTAGTCGCACGTAGTGACAGTAGGTGTGCTCTGCTCCACAGAATAAGTAAGCGCAGGGTACGAGTACCACCCTGGCTTTGATGTAAGCCACCATAGTTGTATTGTCCATTCTGATCAAGACGTGACAATTCCGAAGGGAGGGTTGAAAGTGTCTCAGAGCAAGAAACACTGTCAGCAATTCAAGGTAGTTTATGAGACTATAACTGTGGGTTTGCAGCCTGCTGTGTCACTGGTCTCTCAGTTAGCACTGGCGCTAGTGAACTGACCCTCTCCCTCATGCAGAGCCTTGAGGTTGCCATGATATCCGGGTCTGCCTGGCAGGTGTTAGCAAGGCTAGTCTTGATGCAGTAGCTAACCTGGTTTTGAGTCTCTTGGACCGGAGAACCTAGGGGGTTCGAGTGCCTGCCTTAGCATTGGCCATAATTTGAGTCAAGGTTGGGCCGTGGTCAAGCCACTGTTACTCTTCCTACGTCCCTAATTTGTGGAAAAGGCCTGCTAACCCAGGGGTGCCTGCTGGAATTAGCCTTGACAGGCGTAAACTATTTTATTAAGTGACTCACGGCTAATGACTAGCTGGAGTACGCACTGTGTATAAATGCTATAGCCGTGGTAGTCTATTGAAGGCGTTAGGTAGCTAGCAACCAGCACGTGGGCTACGGTTTGTAAAGCTAGCCTTGTCCTTGGTTCCCCTTGGGCAGGGGTAGCAGGCTCCATGACTCCACAAAACAGCTAATCCGAGAACAAAGTGAAACGTAGGTAGCATTCGCCACTTGGGCTAATAGCCTAGCTAGTTAGCACATGCTAGCCGGAGAAGATAATCCTTCAACAATGTGAACGTAGCTACAGTGAGGGAAAAAAGTATTTGATCCCCTGCTGATTTTGTATGTTTGCCCACTGACAAAGACATGATCAGTCTATAATTTTAATGGTAGGTTTATTTGAACAGTGAGAGACAGAACAACAACAAAAAAATCCAGAAAAAACGCATGTCAAAAATGTTATAAATTGCTTTTCAGTGACTGATGCAACTCAACAATCAGCTATTTGGTAGGCTATTTAACGCGCGCTGCCCAAATTGAGCACTTAAAACAATCAACAGCTCATTTTTCAAATAAGCTAATGACCGCTGTGGTCAAATCATACTCTGTGGTGTAGTATTTGTAATGATGTTATATATTTCTGTATGAGGCAGAAGTAATTATATAGCTTATTTTGGCAAATTTCATTCAATTGACTTTAGGGGAAGCTAATCTTCCCCTAGCCTTTTGGATGCGCTGCCTATGCTGACATCAATGTATAAGTTGCCGGTGCATTAAACAGCTGGCTGCAAGGCTTACAAGGGGGCCAAGTTCAAATGCCACATCAAATTCAAAGCAATCGGCGCACTGCCTAAATATATGACCTCAAGCAAACTGTCTTGCAATGTCTCTGCTCAGTGCTGAGAGAAATTAACACAGGCTGGCAGCTTCTCTACGAGCAAATTTCTACATGGTCCTAAAGCCAGCAAATCAATTCGCTAAATAGCCGTTGCATTTTACTCGGGATTGGAATGATTTTAGTCTACTTTTTTTGTAGCCTTCTTTTACATTTCTGGTCTTGAGCTATACCCAACTGACGCCCCTGCCTGTGTTACAGAATTGTCCTGAGCGGAGATATTAACGTAATCTTCTTCATCGTGTTCACTGTTCATTTTCTCATGAGACCCCCCACAAACACTCTTTCTTTGAATGTTTCCATGCTCGTTGTCATAGACATCCTCTGATTTCCCATAGCTGTGCCCTTTTTCCTTCCCATTCTTCTTTTCACCCGTCACTCTTTCCAGACCTCCCTCGTAACAGTCGTTTTCTAAATTCACATAGTCCTCTTCCTCTTCCTCTTCCTCTTCGTGGTCCTCCCCTCTGTTGTCAATACCTGTTGTATAACAATTTGCTCATTAATATTTCCAACAGCAAACTCCTGGGAATAGAAAAGATTTACAACAAAAGTATTTTGAGATGCTGCTTAACTTAACTTTTCAAGCTCAAGGCCTAAATCAAGTTCAGATTCAGCCTTTGAGTTTACATAATTGTGATATCACTTACATTCTCTCTGGCCAGTCTCTGTAGATGGCTTTCTGCTCCTCCTTGTCCTCAAGATGACTAGACAGATGACAAGCAGAAGCAGAAACAGCAGTGCTACCCCACCAGTCCCTCCAGAAACAATGATGGGGACCATGAATGCTGAAGAAAATGTAGGTATTTCAAGGTTTAGACCTACAGATCAAGACTTGTAAATGGCAAATTAATAGAATATAAAAACAAACAAAAATGTGATATGAAGGATGATAAGTCATGTTACAATACTATGACTTTTCTCTCACGTAAAAGCTATTTTAAATACTTTTTTTTTTAAGCATGTGTTATTTTACCTCTAATGGTGACAGCTAGTTCACTATTAGCCGACCTGAATAACCGGGTGGAGACGTTGACTCCATAGCTGCAGCTGTATTTCCCCTGGTCTTTATACTCTGCAACAGGGAAGTGGAAAGAGGCAGAGTGGTTGACTGCTGGCGTAGTCTCAGTTCTGTTGGATCCAGAGAAGTTCAGATAGAAGAGGCCTCCAGGATACTGTGGCTGAATGGAGCAGGTGATGGAGAAGCTGTGGCCCCTGATCACCTCTGGCCCCTGAGGTTCCCAAAACATCCCTCCATTTGGAGGACTGAGAGAGATGTTGGGCTGTAGCAGGACCACTGGAAAGAAAGTAAACAGCAATTTGACAGTAATGTAATTCCATATTCATACCTTCTAACTGAGAAATGTGTGTGCGATGGACAAGGTAGTCAGTCTCTTGTCTCTATCAAGGCTCTGAATCATAAAGAAATACAGTGAGTTTAGTATTTGGTCCTCTGTAGCTCAGCTGGTAGAGCACGGCGCTTGTAACGCCAAGGTAGTGGGTTCGATCCCCGGGACCACCCATACACAAAAAATGTATGCACGCATGACTGTAAGTCGCTTTGGATAAAAGCGTCTGCTAAATGGCATATTATTATTATTATTATTATTATATTCATAGCACGCAATGACTACATCAAACTTGTGACTCTAGACATTTGTTGGATGCATTTGCTTTGGTTGTGTTTCAGATGATTTTGTGCCCAATAGAAATGAATGGTAAATAATGTATTGTGTCAATTTGGATGTACTTTTATTGTAAATAAGAATATAGTATGTTTCTAAACATTTCTATATTAATGTGCTACCATGATTACGGATAGTCCTGAATAAATCGTGAATAATGATGAGTGAGAAAGTTAGACGCAAAAATATCATACCCCACAAAATAATCTGAAACACAACCAAAGCAAACAGCAAATGCATCCAACAAATGTGTAGAGTCACAAGTTTGATGTAGTCATTGCGTGCTATGAATATGGGACCAATTACTAAACTTTTGACTACTTTAATAAACATACTGTAGAAGTGAATTTGTCCCAATACTTTTGGTATTTAATTTCTAAACGGTTTGCCCACTATATAGGAACATACCCTCAAATTAAAGCTGACAGTCTGCACTTTGACCTCAGTCATTGTATCTTTTCAAATCTAAAGTGCTGTAGTACAGAGCCAAAACAAAACATTTGTCACTCTCCCAATACTTTTGGAGCTCACTGTAGATTATGCAACACTTGTTTCCCAACTACCACCTCACCTTTAGTAACGTTGCTGTAAGGGGAGCTGATGACTTGGCCGTTGGAGAGGGTTCTGTAGAGACAGCGGTAACTGCCCTGGTGTGAAGCATCCATCTTAAACTTTGTTAAAGTAGCCCTGGGCTGTGAGGATCCAACGGTCACGGACATGATGGAGTCTCTATTCAGATAGAAGAGGAATTCCACAGCATTACAGAGGATACAGGATGGAAGAGTGCAGGTGAGATGGACCTCCTCTCCATGCAAGAAGGCAGAATAGGCCGGGTCTGTGGAGAGTGAAGGCTTCTGCAAGACAACACCTGTTGGTCAAATAACAGGTAGTTTAGTGAGGCAACAGTAATCACAACCTATCTGCTGGTCTTCATACTGTATTAGCCACATGCTCTGTTCTAGGCTGCCCCCATCTGGTCACATATCACCAAGTCTGGCTTGGGTTAAGGTTATTTCTGCAACAGTCAACTCTCCACTAGGTGGCAGAGCAGGCAATAATACTGCAGTAATATGCTTTTTAGGATTTTCTCTATGATGAGACCTTTTTGCACAATTCAAACCATTCAAACCAAACCCTGATAAAACTCTAGTCTAGACAAGGCAAAGAGACTCCCTTACCTGAACAAATAACACCTGCGTCGTTACCATGATTACAGTCATGTGTTCCTCCTCCTGTGTGTGGGCACTGTGTGATGGAGCACTCACTGCCAGAGCAGCCAACATCATCCTGCCAGATGGACCCACTGCCCTGACCAAAGTAGGCCCTCTCTGTGGCACTATCAGCTCTCCCACAGCCCAGCTGTCTACACACCACAGCAGTGTCATTCAAGTCCCACACGTCATCACACACGGTTCGCCAGTGACCAATTTGATAGACCTCCACCCTCCCAGAGCAGTGGTCACTCCCATTGACCAGTCTGACGTTAGGTTTAACTAGGAATGAAAGAAAATTAGAAAAGGAGAAAATTAAGGAGAAAATAAATGCATTTCAGTAGCACATTCAACTAAATCAATGGCAAGTTGACACAAGCATAATGAACTGTAATTTGACTTTTATCAACCACAATAGCAACCCAGGGACTTTTACCTGAGCAGACAACTCTGGCGTCTTGAGACTGTAAACAGTCATGGTGTTTCAATCCTCCATGTGAGCATTCTGTGAGGGAGCTCTCACTGCCGTTACACCCAACATCATCCAGCCAAGTAGGTCTGCCACCACTACCCTGACCTACGTGGGCAGTACCTTGGAAACTCACAGTCCTTCCACAGCCCAGCTGGCCACACACCACATTGGCATCGTTTACGTCCCACTTCTGACCACACACTCTTCCCCACTGGCCCTTGTAAAGAATCTCTACTGTCCCCGAGCAGAGACTAGTGCCATTGACCAGCCTGATCTCTTCACCAGCTCACAAAGAGGAAATGAGATGATTGGGAAAATGATTAATAATGATTAATGAGCAATTAAAAACAGCCAGTATTGTCAAAGCTGTTCTATTAAAAGTTGTTACAAACGTGTTACTTAACCTTTTTGGACTTTAACAGCATTTTTTTTTTGTTCCCCTTTTTCTCCCCAATTTCAATCTTGTCTCATCGCTGCAACTCCCCGACCGGCTCGGGAGGCAAAGGCCGAGTCATGCATCCCCCGATAGATGACCCGCCAAGCCGTGCTTCTTAACACACGCTCGCTTAACCCGGAAGCCAGCCGCACCAATGTGTTGGAGGAAATACCATTGAAAAATGTATGCACTCACTAACTGTAAGTCGCTCTGGAGTAAAGCCCCCCCAGCCAAACCCTACCCTAACCCGGACGTCGCTGGGACAATTGTGCGCCGCCCTATGGGACTCCCGATCACGGCCGGTTGCGATACAGCCCGGGATAGAACAGGGGTCTGTACTGACGCCTCTAGCACTATGACGCAGTGCCTTAGACCGCTGCGCCACTCAGGAGGCCTTTAACAGCATTTTAAAAGTATTTTAAAACTTTTTTGAGACGTAAATGAACACTTACCTGCCAATGTAGATAACACAATTTGATGAGCTGTTTGGGAGAAACACAGACAACCAAAACAATACAATTAAACACACATTTGCTGAGGTTGCCATTTCTAAATGGATAATGCCTTATAATAATGTCCAGTAAAAAAATCAGATTTTTTTTTAAATATATGTTTGCTCACCATTTATGAATTGTTATTGTTACATTTGTAAATGTTAGTAAGCTATATATACAGTGGGGGAAAAAAGTATTTAGTCAGCCACCAATTGTGCATGTTCTCCCACTTAAAAAGATGAGAGAGGCCTGTAATTTTCATCATAGGTACACGTCAACTATTACAGACAAAATGAGGAAAATAAATCCAGAAAATCACATTGTAGGATTTTTAATGAATTTATTTGCAAATTATGGTGGAAAATAAGTATTTGGTCAATAACAAAAGTTTCTCAATACTTTGTTATATACCCTTTGTTGGCAATGACACAGGTCAAACGTTTTCTGTAAGTCTTCACAAGGTTTTCACACACTGTTGCTGGCATTTGGGCCCATTCCTCCATGCAGATCTCCTCTAGAGCAGTGATGTTTTGGGGCTGTCGCTGGGCAACACAGACTTTCAACTCCCTCCAAAGATTTTCTATGGGGTTGAGATCTGGAGACTGGCTAGGCCACTCCAGGACCTTGAAATGCTTCTTACGAAGCCACTCCTTCGTTGCCCGGGCGGTGTGTTTGGGATCATTGTCATGCTGAAAGACCCAGCCACGTTTCATTTTCAATGCCCTTGCTGATGGAAGGAGGTTTTCACTCAAAATCTCACGATACATGGCCCCATTCATTCTTTCCTTTACACGGATCAGTCGTCCTGGTCCCTTTGCAGAAAAACAGCCCCAAAGAATGATGTTTCCACCCCCATGCTTCACAGTAGGTATGGTGGTCTTTGGATGCTACTCAGCATTCTTTGTCCTCCAAACACGACGAGTTGAGTTTTTACCAAAAAGTTATATTTTGGTTTCATCTGACCATATGACATTCTCCCAATCCTCTTCTGGATCATCCAAATGCACTCTAGCAAACTTCAGACGGGCCTGGACATGTACTGGCTTAAGCAGGGGGACACGTCTGGCACTGCAGGATTTGAGTCCCTGGCGGCGTAGTGTGTTACTGATGGTAGGCTTTGTTACTTTGGTCCCAGCTCTCTGCAGGTCATTCACTAGGTCCCCCAGTGTGGTTCTGGGATTTTTGCTCACCGTTCTTGTGATCATTTTGACCCCACGGGGTGAGATCTTGCGTGGAGCCCCAGATCGAGGGAGATTATCAGTGGTCTTGTATGTCTTCCATTTCCTAATAATTGCTCCCACAGTTGATTTCTTCAAACCAAGCTGCTTACCTATTGCAGATTCAGTCTTCCCAGCCTGGTGCAGGTCTACAATTTTGTTTCTGGTGTCCTTTGACAGCTCTTTGGTCTTGGCCATAGTGGAGTTTGGTGTGTGACTGTTTGAGGTTGTGGACAGGTGTCTTTTATACTGATAACAAGTTCAAACAGGTGCCATTAATACAGGTAACGAGTGGAGGACAGAGGAGCCTCTTAAAGAAGAAGTTACAGGTCTGTGAGAGCCAGAAATCTTACTTGTTTGTAGGTGACCAAATACTTATTTTCCACCATGATTTGCAAATAAATTCATTTAAAATCCTACAATGTGATTTTCTGGAGAAAAAAATTCTCAATTTGTCTGTCATAGTTGACGTGTACCTATGATGAAAATTACAGGCCTCTCTCATCTTTTTAAGTGGGAGAACTTGCACAATTGGTGGCTGACTAAATACTTTTTTCCCCCCACTGTAGATAGTTATTGACACATTTATAAACAACTTTAAATGTAAACCAAGCAAGCAACCAGTATTTGCATATGCTTTTGTGCTATTTACACCATTTGTAAAGCTGGATAGTTAGGTCTATCTCGAGCTCAAGGATTTCCTTTGTGAAACTGCCCTGTGAGAGATGCACAGTATGTCACTTGTTGTGGTTAATATTAGCCAGATTCTCACAGACCAACTGTTTAGTATACAGATGAAACATACTTATTTTTTTATCAGTTTCACACATTATAGCACCCTTCCTTTGTTTAAAATCGGCTAGTCCTGCTTTCTGCAAAATGTTATTAATGACTCTCATCACTTTATTTTGTGAAATTGTTTTTCCACTTAATGTTGACTTATGTTATTTCCTATATATCAAATGTCAGCAGTGTTGGGGAAGCTTAATTTTTTGCCCCTTTCCCCTAGTTGGAGGACTTGGTTGGAAAACATACAAATTCTCTATACATGTAGCGACGTGTCACTTTAATGGTACCCCCCCTTTACTTTAGTTAATTTTGTAAATCATTTCTTAACTCTATTTTCTTAAAACTGCATTGTTGGTTAAGGGCTTGTAAGTAAGCATTTCACGGTAAGATCTACACCTGTTGTATTCGGCGCATGTGACAAATAACATTTGATTTGATTTGTTGAACATCCTATTACTGTCTGTCCATAATGCTGAACTGTTATGGACCACTGAGTTCCTCCAAGCTCCTTCAATTTCCATTCAATTCAATTTCAATTTAAGTGGCTTTATTGACATGGGAAACATATGTTTACATTGCCAAAGCCAGTGAAATAGATAATAAACAAAAGTGAAATAAACAAGAAAAAATTAACAGTAAATATTACACTCACAAAAGTTCCAAAAGAATAAAGACATTTCCAAATGTCATATTATGTCTATATACAGTGTTGTAACGATGTGCAAGTAGTTAAAGTACAAAAGTGAAAATAAATCAACATAAATATGGGTTGTATTTACAATGGTGTTTGTTTTTCACTGGTTGACCTTTTCTCTCTCTCCAAGACAAAGATTTATAAAAGTGGCCCTTCACTCCTAGGTCTGATACCATGTGACCTCACAGGACTACAAAAGGACTCTGCTGTCTCCCCCTCACTCTCTTAGCTGTTAGCCGCTTATCCTGCTGGACCTCTCAAGCTGGACCTCTCAAACTGGACCTTTCTCGAGGAGGGAGAAGAACCTCCATCCTCAGTAGGCCGACCACAGGTCCTGGACCTTCGCCTTTAATGGCAAGAACTGGTGAACTGATAAGTTAGGGAAAGTACCTTTTAGGGAATAGCATATGTAATCCAGTACATACATTGGGACGGAAGAGCCCATGCACTAAACAGTCTCAGAAGGAGACTTAGTCATTAAAGAGCTATTGTAGCCTCAATGGTACATTTAAGGTTTCCTTCTTCAAGTAAAGAAGGAGATGACTATTAGAGCACAGCCTCTGCAACTCAAGCAAGGAGCCAACAGAGAAGAGCAACAAGCATAAGGACACCAACTCCTGACAAAGGAGGAATCACCCAACTCAACCAGAAAGGACACACCTTCTTCCTTTGTTCTCATCCATGCGGCCTGAACAATCAAGAAGCCACAACATACTTTGTCTTGATGTCTTGATCACGTTGAGGGAGAGGTTGTTATCCTGGCACCACACGACCAGGTCTCTGACCTCCTCCCTATAGGCTGTCTCATCGTTGTCGGTAATCAGGCCTTCCACTGTTGTGTCGTCGGCAAACTTAATGATTTTAAGTTGGAGTCGTGCCTGGCCTTGCAGTCATGGGTGAACAGGGAATACAGGAGGGGACAGAGCACGCACCCCTGAGGGGCCGCCGTGTTGAGGATCAGCGTGGCAGATGTGTTGTTACCTACATTTTGTTATTTCGTTTCTGTAAGCCATTTAACAAACTATAACGGACTAACATTGGAATTGGAGTTGACTCCAAGGCAATTCATAAAAGACCGTAAATACTGAACTTTCAAGCAACCACATATTTTGCCATGGAGCACGTTCTGATTGGCCAGTGAGGCGCCTAGCCTCGACACACCCACAATGTCACGACTTCCGCCGAGGCTGCCTCCCCTCCTTATTCGGGCAGGCTTCGGCGTTCGTCGTCACTGGCTTACTAACCACTGCCGCCCCAATTATCATCATCACATTTGTCTTGTCTTGTCAATCACACACACCTGGTTCTAATCCCCTCATTAGTCTGTGTATAAGTGTTCCCTCTGCCCCCTTGTCCTTGTGGGTGATCGTTTGAATGTGAAAGTAGTGTAGCTCGGTGGAGCTACTCATACCATTTTGTTGCCAGGGTAGATATTTCCCCTGTGCCTATGTATTGTATGGAGATACCGTTACAGTGTATTACCAGGGTAGATAGTTTCCCCTGTGCCTGTTTCGTTTGTCGCTATTCCAGCGTATTTTGTGTAACTAAGGAATAAACTCTGTATTCGGTGATTACCCTCCTGCTCCTGACTCCTTCCATCATACTTATCACAGAATCACCCACCCACTATGGAGTCAGCGGGAGAAGAGCGCA